GTGACGAGACAGCAACATGTACTTAGTTTTCTCTGTGTTTACTTCTAGACCAGCCTCTTTACTTGCGTCAATTAAAGTTTGTGTGTTTTCCTTTATGGTATCTACATTATCACCCAGTAGATTCACATCATCGGCGTAGACCAACAGCTGATGTGTCCCGTTTAGTTTCAGTCCCACCTGGTTTCCCTGGACCTTCCTAATGACATATTCTAAATGCCACACATACGTATTGTTGTATTTTGTATGTTATGTAAACTGGCGGTTACCAATGTATTGTTATCAGTTCATTGTTATGCGTCACTTATAGCGGGTATGCCAGGGAAACGTCAGGATATGTTCACACACTTCTGTCTGCCGGACTGCTGCTGGCCAGAAGTCAGTCCTACCGACCGGCCGTCTCGACGGGCGAGTCGGTTCGCAAGTTCCAAGTTGCTATTGCTTGCTTCTCGTTCAGCCCTCCCGACTCAAATTCATCAAATTTCAATTTTCTCGCCGTCAGAGCCACTAACATTTATTTTTCCAGACTATACAATTCAACACTGATCCAGAAAATCAACTCCCTGCGGGCCCTGCCTCAAGTGAGTGCTTCTAACCGTTCTAACGTCTTCAGTCTCACATTGCCTGTACCCGAAGGACGAACGGGCGAAGCCTGGGATGCCATTTCTCTCCCTGCCCAATGATAACGTGTCGCTCGCTTCTCCCACTATTTTCACTTTATCCTCTCTTCTACTACACTTTCTGCCTTACTCTCTCCAGGCCTCAGAGGGATGTGATGCCCTGCAGTCCGGTAGGAATTTACTTGCGTTTCGGAGAACGTACTGCCACCTTCTTCACGGCCAAAGAGTACGACAAGCAAGCAACGTCCTGCTCTGATTGCTTGGCTCACTGTCCGATCTAGAAGATGAAGGCAAGCAAGATCCTCCGAAACGTCGGTAAACTCCCACCGGACTACAGGGCGTCACATTCCAATACTTCAGTTTTACGCCGCCTGGAGCGCAACTAATTCGTGTAGGAAAGACCGCGTTTTAGGCTACTTTGGGATTATTCTTACGGGGTCCTTATAACGGCGAGGGACATGGCAACTACAGTACTAACGTCGTTATAACGAAATGTTTGGAAATGAGGCGGATCGTCACTTGTACAAATGTACGCACAATAGGGAGATCACGCCTTTCAGTGCACATGTTTTGACAGCGAAACTGGTCGATGCTGTTGGGCGCAGCCTCTGGTTACTTCATGTTAGATCCGTGGAGGACGAAGTGGCATTGGAGCAGGTTCTTGTCAGAGAATCTTCAGTTTTCTCCCACTAATCAGCATTCCACCATTGCCGCCCGAGGTGTGCGGCAGCCCTGAACAGGCAGCACATTGTCACATCCTAGGTCTTCAAATTTCGGGACTTCATCTCTGGCCTGGTCACAGAGTGACGCAGTATTTATTGGGCCAAAATTTCGCTGTTAACATTGAACAATTTTTTTTTTTTGCGAGTTAAGTTTTGAGCCTTTCGATTCCGTACAACTTGTAACTGACATGGCGCCCACATCGTGCTCATCATTCTGCAAGGAACACACCTGAAGAAATTGACACGTGTGTTCTTAAGTTCCATTTAGAAACCGCACGGCAACTTTTGAATAGGGGGAAGAACTGCTCCTCTCAGTTATTGAATGTACATAGGGTCAGTGCTGTTAGGCAGATAGAAATGCACACAGCTGAGCCGTTAGTACCTGATCCTAGCCCCTTTGAGGCTGAATGTGCTATTGCAAAATTGAAACAGTATAAATCGCCAGGTAGTGATCAAATTCCGGCAGAACTTATTCAAGCAGGAGGCGAAATATTATATTCTAAGATCCATAAGCTAATTAATTCTGTTTGGCATAAGGAAAAATTGTGTCTATTACTGTACCAGTTCACAAGAAGGATGATAAAACCGACTGTAGTAATTACTGCGGGATATCACTGCTACCAACTTCATACAAAATTTTATCCAATATTCTTCTCTCAAGGTTAAGTCCATACATAGATGAAATTATTGGGGATCATCAGCGTGGGTTTCGTCGTAACAGATCAACTACAGATCAGATCGTTTCCATTCGTCAAATACTGGAGTGAAAATGGGAGTACAGTGAGACAGTACATCAGCTATTCGTAGACTTCAAGAAAGCCTATGATTCAGTTAGGTGGGTAGTATTGTGCAGTATTTTCATAGAGTTTGGGGTACTCATGAAACTAGTTAGGCTGATTAAAATGTGTTTAAATGAAACGTATAGTAAATATTTGTTTGATAATATTCCTATTCAGAATGGTCTAAAACAAGGAGAGGCTTTATCGCCACTCCTTTTCAACTTTGCCTTAGAATATGCAATTAGGAAGGTCCAGGGAAACCAGGTGGGACTGAAATTAAACGGGACACATCAGCTGTTGGTCTGTGCCGATGATGTGAATCTACTGGGTGATAATGTAGATACCATAAAGAAATACACAAACTTTAATTGACACTAGTAAGGAGGTTGGTCAGGAAGTAAACTCAGAGAAAACTAAGTACATGTTGCTGTCTCATCACCAAAATGCAGGGCAAAATCATGGTATAAAGGTAGAAAACACATGTTTTTAAAATGTGGCACAGTTCAGATATTTGGGGACGACGATAACAAATCGAAACCTGATTCAGGAGGAAATTAAGGGGAGACTGAACTCGGATAATGCTTGCTACCATTCAGTCCAGAACCTTTTGTCTTCTCGTCTGCTGTCTAAAACCATAAAAATCAGAACATGCAAAACTATAATTTTGCCTGTGGTTCTGTATGGGTGTGAAACTTGGTTTCTGACATTAAGGGAGGAACATACACTGAGGGTGTTTGAGAACAGGGTGTTGAGGAGAATATTTGGACCACAGAGAGATGAAGTGACAGGAGGTTAAAGGAAACTGCATAATGAGGAGCTTCATAACTTGTACTTTTCTCGATGTATAATTAGAATGATCAAGTCAAAGAGGATGAGATGGACAGGGCATGTAGCACGAATGGGGGCGAAGAATGCCTCTAGGATATTATTGGGAAAGCCAGAAGGAAAGAAACCACTGGAAAACCAAGGCGTAGGTGGGTGGACAATATTACCATGGATCTTAGAGAGATAGGGTGGGATGGTATGGATTGGATTGATCTGGCTCATGACATGAGCCAATGGAGGGCGTTTGTGAACATGGCAATGAATGCTGGGAAGTTCTTGCGTAGCCGCAGAGTTGGCGGGGCTCAGCTCTATGAGTGAGTGAGTGAGTGAGTGAGTGAGTGAGTGAGTGAGTGAGTGATAGCAGGCAGGAAGGCAACAAATCGATTTCGAGCGCAAAGGCAGCGACTGAAAATGCTTGCATGCTACATGTACAGTCCATCATAATATCCACAGCTTTCAAACTGACTGATAGTTCAATCAGTACAGGACTAGATTATAGGTTGGGCGACCGGGGAATCTGTGTTCGATTCCCGGTAGGGACAACGGCTTTATTTCTTGTCCATAACGACCAGACCGGCTCCGGGGTGCAGCCATCTTCTTATCTAATGGGTACCCGGGACTCTTTCTCGGGGGCGTGAAGCTGCCCACTTATCTCCATCACTAGACGGACGGTAGGCATGAATGGAGCTATAACTCCACTACCCCTATGTCTTCATGGCGTGATAATCAACTGAGCAGAGGGATAATTTTATCTGCTTACGTCTGATTTGAGGTGCATATGAAGATACTATATATGTAGTCTGGGATATGACGCCGTGTAGTCCGGTATAATTTCCCAGACGTTCCAGAGGAACGCACTGCCTCAGTGCACATCCTCAGGGATGAGGAAGGCAAAGAAGCAAGAAGCAAGCTGAACGGGCCAGCGGTTGCTTGTCTCACTCTCGACCATGAAGATGGAGGCCGTACATTTCTTCGAAAAGTTGGCGAACTTCTACCAGACTACACGGCGTCTAATTCCGGGAGGTCGCACTGTCTGTGTGTTTACTTTCACATTGGACTACAGCCGAATNGGGGGGGGGGGGGGGGTAGCAGGAAGTGTGTCCACTTCACACCTAGACACTGGCGCATGCAAAGGACGCGCGTTAAGTAACGACTATACCAACTGTAATGTAACAATGGACGTATTCGTGTTTCAAGAAAATAGTGGCATTGTTACGAAATCGAAACATTTGGCCCCGTAAATGAATGACTTAACCAACAAATGTAAATTCACGGAATGCGACAGCGTTCATGGGCCCCTTAAACATCTGTTAGGGGGCGGGGCAGCCAGAATCAAAAACTGCGATCGAACTTACGTTTACAGCTCTTTAAGACTGTTCTTTCTTATGGCCCTGAACTGTTCAAGGTAGGTTACTATTTAAGTTTTAATTTTAATTTTTGGTATCAGTATTAGGTATAATTCCTTCTTTTTCCAATTTAGATTTTATTTTTAAAACTCCAGGGGACGGGGATGCTTGGCTTGCCCCTCGCCCTCTGCCAGTCCACTTACTGGGCTTCTTCATGACCCCCAAACAGACAATAAAATCGGTGTGATATATCACAAATGTTATCCACGATTTTGGACTCCCGGACTAGACGATCGGTGTTTGATTCCGTCCGGAACTGGGCACTTTCCTCACGGGACAGGCGGCCGGAACGAGAAACTGTCATTAAACCTGTACCTAAGAAGCCGAACAGGTTGGTGCGGTAATAATACGTCACAGTCTTATTGTGGAGGTGCTTGGTTCCAGTCATGGCTGAGACACCGTTTATACTGACTTAAGGATTTTTTTTTGTTTTCCTCAGTTCCTCCAGCCAAATACTCTCGATTAGGTCACGATCCTTTCGCTCCAGTTGCTTTCAACTTCATCAACTATCCTACCATGCGATGCTATATAGGCTAGGGGTGACAGCCTGAACCTACGGCTGTTACAGTTCATGACGTGGCGAGTACGAAAATTCATTTTTCGTATGTGTAAATAGAAAATTGGATGCCCACAGCAGATTTCTGTACTCACCGATCCCGTTACTGGAACACAGACCTAACCTCACTCGCAAACAAGGATCGGCAATACACAACCATTCAGAGCTTCACAGTGGTCACAACACCTCGAAGCTGATTGCTGTGATGCCGGTCAGCTGAAGCTCCTAAAAAATGACTGAGAACGTGGCTCAGTGCGAACGGCTGCCACTAGGAAGCAGCACTCGCCGGCAGGAGACAGCAGCAAACAGACTTGACATTGAGCGTGCGAAAGTGAGGCGGTTCTCAGCCTATGGGTCGGCTGTAGGGCCCGCGCATAATGAAATCCCGTGACCACGCGTGAATTGTCCTGTTTCCGTTTGTTCAGTCGAAGAAGAGGCGTTTAAGAGCTGTATGGAACTCCGGTCTAGAAAACCGAAATTAACGGCCGTGGGGATTCGTTGCACTGACCACGTGACACCCTCTATCCGCAAAAGTTTGCACTAAACTTCGTCGAGAAGCGACTGTCGGTCGGGCGGTATAGTTCGCTTGCGGACTGAAATCACAGAATTTTTTCTTGTGGGTCTATAACTTGAACGCACTCATAACGCAATCGATTTCTCGTGTTTCGATTGTTGTTGATCAGTATTTCATTTGTTCGCGGAAGAGAAAATTGGCGGTACTGGGCACGAGGAGGTAGTGACGTATGTCAACATGGACGTAGCGGTCGAACTGACAAACATTTCATTCGTTCTGCACCTTTCGTTTCTTTCTGTTGTTGCTAGTTTACTTTAACGTTATGTTATTTGACTTGGTGCTGTTGAACTTGTGATGAGCGTGTGCGCGACAGAGAGCGAGCTGTAGGCTGGAGGTATGGGTGAGTCAGAATGTCATACATTTGCTCCTGTTTGTGTCACAGTCATATGCGCCACTGGTTTCAGTACTGTGTACTTTCTTGCATTCATTTGCTGTAGGCTTACGATTTACAACGATCTTCATATAAAACCATATATAACAAGTAGTAATTACGGCTTATGATGTTAGCAATGCAGTAGTGTAATGGAAGGCAGGAGATCTGTGCTGACAGATTTACTGATGTATTTTTTATTATACTGCTCAGCCTCTCGTTGCAACAGTATATGAATGGAGTCTGAGAATTCCAGGAGTGTGTCAGATGCTAGGTCGTTGGCCGGAGGAAGGGAGGGCAGCTAGGAATCTGTCCCATCCCCTTGGATTAAAAAAACTGAAATAAGGAAATTCCCGAAATTATTCTTATACTACTTTATTCTTATATATTGGATGCTCAGAATATTCTAACTCTTCTTAAACGGTTTAAACATAACTTTGTAAGCAAATTTTCTGTTCCCTTCCCGTCCTTGGAACGGATTCTGTTGGTACCTACGGTATGATTATTATTATTATGGCTTTACAGCCCTTTGTTGGGCCTTGATCGCGTTTTCAGTTTCTTGATCCTATACACAGTCGGTAGGACTCCTTGGATGGGGGATCAGCCCGCCGCAAGGCCTATACCTACATATAGAACAACACAAACAGCATAAACGCCCACAATACAGACTTCTATGCCTCGAGTTGGATTCGAACCCACTATTCCAGTGTTCGAGCGAGCGAAGACAGTTCATGACTTAGGCCCGCGGCCACCGTGATTGGCCGGAATATATGTTAACGTGCTGAGATGGCTTAATAAGCATCTGTATTTTTTTTTTTAATTTCCGACGAAGGACCACCCTCTCCACGCCTCACCTTGACCCCCCCCTTCCAGGCCTCTGGCATGCCCTAGCAGTTTAGGAGATATAACAAAACTGCCCCACCACGCATAATAAGACTAGGAAAGAGTGTTTTCACATTGAAAGCGCGACGTTTCGGAAGCTGGATCTGCTTCAATCTTCAGCTAAGTTGAACTTCCTGATTTATCAGAAGACATGGCTCATACACCCAACAAATGTAGAACATATTATTTTGAACGTGTTTGAATAGGCCGCGCTCCTAAGCACCATGTTCTGTGTTCGCGATATAGTGTATGTGATTATTGCTGATTGGCTGTGTCAGCAGAACTGTTTGCGCTGTGCCCTACCACTGTAGCGTAGCGTGGGACAGTGAAGTTGGCTGGCTGGCCGCGCATCTCTGCCGGCGCAAAACGGCACGAGTGGAACTTGTTACCCATTCGTACATGGATGCCATTGGCGCTGTACGCAAGTACTGACGGGTAACGGTACCGCCACAAAACCGAAAGCCTCATCTTTTCAGAACTGAATGAAATGCCTCAACTTCGAAGATGAAAACCGAATGTCCAACCTTGTGAACTTGTTGTTAGGGGCAAATTTTAAGGTTAGGCATTGGGTCTTGTTTTTTGCAAATAAACTTGTAATGTTTGCGGTGTTAACGTGACGGCTACAGGGCGGTAAATTTTGAAGTTAGTTGGGCTACCCGTTGACATATAATTGCCTGCCATTATGTAGGGGTTAAAGCGGCTATGAGCTTAAGAAACAAAACACTGTTTCAAAGTGTTCTCTCCCTTAACACTGTTCCGGCACCGCAGGCAGTTAAGTTTTGTCGGATTTGAAGCCTCCGCGGTGGTGACTCTGAAGAGCACGGTTTCCGGGCTAGTAAGGCCGTGTAGTTAGGGGGAGGGAACGTATCCTCCATCTCCAGCTCAGGTTGCCGTATGCTTCAGCTGGTTTCCTGCCTAACATACTTTTTCGACCCTGAAGATGGGAGCCATATGTTCCTGCGAAAAGTCTGGCTGTCACCAAACTACCCGACTGCAGTTCAGCCGCCTTACGTTGCCTCGGGCCGGCTTCTGGTGACGTCGCTAATTCCCTGATCTTGTTTACGGGCGTATGAAACGCGAGTGCCCTACGCCGCGTGTGTGGCATCAGCAGGCGAGTCGCGTAGGGACTAAACGGACGGCCCTGAAGATACCGCTGTAGGTACGTAGCCTGAAGACGGAGACAGTATTTTCCTCCGAAACGTCGGTGTTTACCTACAAACCCCAAAGTATCAGAACCTCAAGACTGAGAGGCTTGTCACTTGCATTTATTTTAAGTTGCTTATTTATCGCTGCTGTGAGTGTCCAGACTATGCAGTGTTGGATGTGTATGCCTGTGAAGCAGCTGGTGGAATGAAAAGAGAGCTCAACACATGCTGCTTAGTCCCTCACAGTTTCCACCTGACCAGGGATCAAGCTGGGGCCTCCGCGGTTAGAACCAGACGGCCGACCGCCTCAGCTACGGCACCGTATAGTTTGGTAGGTAGGTATCCTCGAGATGGAGGCAGCATGTTCTCCCGAAACGGCGGTACCCTCTCACCAGACCATTGCGACCAGGTTTCAGTTCCGACAAAGTTCTGCACTCGTCCCGTAGTCCCCGCACCACAGCGCCACGCTCCTGGTGAGCGGCCGCTCGAGGAACTCCTGCTCGATCTGCTGCAGGGACTTGCGGTGCGTCTCCGTCAGGAAGAGCAACACGAACGCCGTCGCGAGGAGGGACGTCACGCCGTAGAAGTAGAACACACCCTCCGACGTCGATGTCTTGGGGTTGACGGCGTCACCTCCTAACAGCATCAGCAGGTACGGATATATCTTGAGGGCGGCGAAGCTGAAGAGGTACGCCAGGCAGGTAGTCAGCCCGCCCGCCAGCCCCTTCACCAGAGGAGGATACATCTCGCCCAACATCGCCCACGGCAACGTGTGGAAGCCTATGGCCCCAGCCACCTGTTGGACACACAGTGCGACTGTCAGCGGCTCCGGGCGGTGAATATTGAATTAGCCTAGTTAGAGAAACTATAGCAGCAGCATCTGCCTGAAGGGACTGAGGAGAACCACGAGTAACCTATGGAGCAGTACGTACCACGTAGGCGAGCAGGAGCCCGAGCGGTATGCTGGACAGCTCGCGGTTGCTGAGGGCAGCCTGCGAGCCGTTGGGTACCAGCTGCAGGTACACGGCCAGGCCCATCATGCAGACAGTCATGCCGACCCCCGACAGCAGCGACATCGGCCGACGCCCACACCTGCAAGCAACAGGCCTGGCCTGATAAGGAACTGCCCAGGCATTTGTACTGAGCTAAACGACAAAAAATAAAAATTCAGTCAGAATTGCCGATATAGGCCGAGACACGAACTCAGCACCTCCCCCTCGGTGTGCTGACCGTCCGCTTGTTGTTGGGACGCTCTGTGACGGGAGTTCCCACTGAGGTCTCAGGCTCTCACGGAGGCGAGTGTAGTTTCGGCAGAACCTGCTGTCTCCTTATTCGAAGATAGAATACGTAGGATTTGACGTTCTCACACCGGTCGTTATGAAGATTTGTGCCTTGTGGGATATAGCGCCGTTTACTCATCTGAAAGTCAACGGACGTTTCGGAGGAAACTATCGCATCCATCTTCTTCGACCCTGAATATGGAGGCGACATGTTGCTCCGAAACGTCTGTTGTGTTTCAACGGACTACACTGCGCTATCTTCCAGACGACTGAAGTCTTTACAGACAGAGTAAGCTGGCTCCAACGGTAGCGCTCGTGGTTTGTATTGTGCAGGTGTTCTGTTCGAAACCCGGCCGGGACACCCGCTACCCTGAGGCTTTAGTGTTTTTCCTCAGCCATTCCAGGATATTACAAGAACAGAACGTCAAATTAGGCCGCAACCGCTTCCTTTCACATCCCTTGCCTATTCTTTAGGACAGCTTACCACTCGACACTACATGCCCTTGACTACATCGCTACGTAAACCACGAACGAACGGAGTCGGCCCATCTCAGAAGGCAGTTGTGCCTCTCAATCTGCGGGTGGTTTCACCACAGGGGTCGCTGCAGTTAGCGCTACTGCGCACAGCCTACTGCACATGCAGGCAGGGTTCCTGCTGTCACTGTATCGCAAAGTTGGGAAAGTCGGCAAGAAAGCCTGTTTATACGTGCTTCCAACATTGCATAGTTGCCTCTCTCTGCGCAGCCGCAGCGGGTTCTACTTTGCTAAGTACCTGCCCGGTTTCGTAGCAAAAGGTTCCTCCCACGCTGCCATGAAGATGGAGGTAGTACGTTATAGCGAAACGTCAGTGAACTTCTACCGGGCTGCACTGCGTCGTATCCCAGGGGATACTGTTCTTTGATCGTAATATTTGAGCACTTACTAGTAACCTATTAACGGCAATTTATTCCTCTGTCTGACTAGACACCACGCCATGTATACGTATGGTGGAGTGGAGGTATAGCTCCACATATTCTTAACCTTGACAATAGACGGAGAGGATAGTGCTGGCAGCAATGGAGCCCCTTACCCATTAGATATGAGTCTGAGAGAGCCGGTCCCTGCCGAGGCTTGAACCCACGTTGTCCAGTCCGTAGCCAGTCATTGTGGTAACTAAGCTACCCCGGTTCGTGATGTGCGGACAGCATATCTCTTTGGCGCGATTCAAGTAGCGCTGTGCGCATGGGCTCGCTTTTGTGCTAGATACTCGTATGCATGGCCTCCAGTTTTCCTGCATGTCAAGGTTGAACGGGTGTTTATGTTTTGTTGCGACGATAAGAAAATAATGTTCAATCTTGTTTGTTCTTTAGAGTGAAGTGATACTATCACTGAATGTACGAGTATTATCAAATGACCTCTGTTCCGAGAGCTCGTACCGATAACGAGGCTTGCCACTTGGGTGTTATGGTAGGATGAATTTTTGGTATGCAGAGGCTGAAACGATAAATTTGATTATTTTTTATTGCTAGTGGAGTGAGACTAAGTTCCTTGTACTGCGGCCACTTCTGGCCTATTGTACCAGCCCCAGATGATAGGTGAAGGTGATTGTGGAGCAATTGGTGGAATGAAGATTGGCAGGGGAAACCGAAGTACTCGGAGAAGACCTGCACCAGCGCCACTTTGTCCACTACAAATCCCACTTGACCAGACCCGGGATCGAACCCGAGCGGCCGCGGCGGGAAGCTAGCGACTAACCTCTTGATCTATGGCGCGGCCTAAATTTGATTAAGTCTGTCCGGCATTCGAATCCCTTGACGAGCTAGCGAAGTCCGGTGGCAGCCAGGTTGCCGTTTCTTATCCTTAGCACATTTCGTCTGCGAACGTTAATACTTTGCTGTCTGTATGCAGGTCTCTGTTTTACAGGTAGAATGTTTGCGCTTGTGAATACTTTTCAATTTTCGCCGTTAGTTGCATTTGTTGGAGCGTGCGGTTCCGTGCTAACAGGGTTTGGTTGGTTCGTTATTTCGGGCCTTAACTGATGTAGTGAGGTTATTTTGTAGGGAGCAGTGTTTCTTCCTTTAGTGTCACAGTTCTTTGCCCTAGTACTTTTCTCCTGTTTTGGCTGGTTATTAATTTCTTACTTTAGGCGTTGTGTTTCGTGATTTTCTTGAGCTGGATCAGACTGGGAGCATGTGCGGTAGCGGTTACTGGACGATCTATCAGTTCTAATTACTCACGATTAGCGGGGGCCCAGACTCTGTGCCATGCTCCTACACAGACCCCTCTACCCCGGCGCGCCAGTGCGCCCTGGAGAGGGCGAGAACTTGCCTGGTGAGTGCGAAGCTAACGCCGATACCCGCCACGAGTTGTACCACCCCTAGCAGCACCGTCACCACGTACTCGTCCATGGACACCCCTGCCTGCAGGATGATGTCCACCGCGTAGTAGACCACGACGTAGATGCCCGAGAACTGCTGGAAGAAGAAGTATCCGTTCAGAACGAAGAGCGGTTTCCAGGCCTGTGGGAGAGTCAAGGCACGTAGCTTCCCGAGCTGTCTGCCAGCCTGCAGAGCCTCCTGAGGGCCTGGCACGGCCCTCAGCTCCGTGTCCCTGTCACGGCCCTTGGACAGCAGCCACAGAGGACTCTCTGGCAGCAGCACCAGTGTCGAAACAGCGGTCAGGATCGGGAAGGCCGCACTAAGTCCTGCCACGAGGCGCCAGTTGTCCTTAAGGAAGGCACCCAAGATGTACACCACTAGGATCCCGGCTGAGATGCCAATGGATGGCCACGTGACCAGCATGCCGCGCAGCGATTGGTCGGACACCTCGGCGATGTAGACGCAGGCGGGGATGCTGGCCATGCCTGTACCTGCAGACAGACCTTGTTAGTACGATGCTGGATACAACGGGACGTTGCCGAATGAAAGCCAACAGTTCTAGATGGCGTAGTGCCCCCACCCATACGTGTTCCCTTTCTTCCTACCCTCTTCCCTGACGCCTTCCGTCCCACTAGCGCGTCCACAGTTGGCCGTCAGTCGTGTTCCAGTCATCCGATCTTTCGTGTGCACATTTCGTATTCACTCGTGGACCTGAGCCCTTCTTGAGAAGCCGGCCGCCAGCTGTGCAGGCACTCATGGGCTTCCCAGCATTTTATGGTTAATTACCGTGTTCACAAGAGCCCTTCACCGGTCCCCCTCCTGAGGCAGATCGATCCAGTCCATACCGTCCCACCCTATCTCTCTAAGATCCATTTTAATATTGTCCACCCACTTACATCTTGGTCTTCCTAGTGGTCTCTTTCCCACCAGTATCCTTTATGCATTCCTCTTCGCCCCATTCATGCTATATGCCCTGCCCATCTCATCCTCCTGGACTTGATCACTCGCACATTTCGTACTTTGGTTACCATCTCCGCCACTACCACTCTGTGGGCGCTACAGTCCATGCGAACCTTAGACACTGTCTTACAGTTTTTTAATCATATAGGCAGTCGGTAGCACCCCTTGGGCCCCCGCAAGGCCGCTACCTACACAATACAACACAGACAGAAAATAAACGCAGACAAACATCCATTCCTCAAGAGGGATTCGAACCCAAGACCCCAGCGTCTGAGGGAGCGAACACAGTTCTTGCTTTAGACCGCGCGGCCATTACGATCGGCACATAATTGCAGTGTTTATTGGCCTACATCTCTGGTGCCTGCTGTCGCCATGGTTACCGTGGTATTCCGGTTGTGCTGCTGTAGCGCCCGCCATGTTGCCCTTACCGACTGCGTGGTCTGCACTGGCGAGGAGTCGGCATAGCAACAGGCTACGGGCTGGACTGTGAAAAGTTTATATCAAATTTCGTTAAAATCCGTTTCTCGGTTCTCGAGTTTATACATACAGACATGGCCAGCCTTCAGCTAGTTCCCCGGAAATTCGAACCGTGTCACCCACTATCCTGACTGAGAAATGCCGAGACAGTACCTCAGATTTGGCTAATACCGCTTCCTTCCCGATCTTTTGCAATTCGTTATTGGCTATCATAGAACCACTCGACGCTGTACAGTCTGAGCTTGTGACAGCGTCGCTGTATAACGTAAGGTAAAGCTGCCCCTGTGCTCGACTAATTAAGCACTACGCCATGAAGGCGTATGGGGAGTGGAGGTATTCTTGGAGGTGAGTGGTTAGCTTCACGCCTCGGTCCTCGGAGATGAGCCCTCGGTACCCATTGGATGCGATTTTATATCGGAAGTTGTGGAAAGAACGCCAGTTGCAGTTACTTGCGCACATACCCAGACCGGTGAGAATTCTGCCCAGGTAGAGCACGGGTGTAGACACGGGACTGGGCGTGAATGCCAGAGTCAGCCACCCGAGGGTGAAGGGCACGTTGAGGGCGAGCAGAGCGACGCGACGCCCGAACCGGTCCAGCAGCGGGCCGCACAGCAAACATCCCAGCGGCGTGGCGATGGACGCGACGCTAGCTGAAACAGGCGTCAGGCACAAGTGACAGAACAAGTGAGCGGCGGCGAAGACGCACGTCGCATCCATAAGAGCAGTGGCGCCTTACCGAACCAGGACGCCTCGTCGATGTCCAGGTGGTCGGGGCTGTCCGCCCTCAGTAGTTCCGGCAGGGCGATGGCGGAGAACCCCAGGCTCATCCCCGAGGCCACTGTGCTGACGGCAGCCACGAGGATCACGGCAAGCTGCAAGAGACACCCCTGTGTTAGGCCGCAATACCAATGGGCCCAGTTTGCTGTGGGTTACTGGTCGCAGCGTCGGAGGGTCGGGTGGCTGAATGCGCATGCACCGGGAGGAGAAGGGAAATCGCAATAGCCGGTCCCTCGGCCTTCCGAACGCGCGTGCGCACCAGTTGCGTGCGGAACATCCGGGCCGGAAAACGGACAGATTCTGGGGTAGTCCCTCGATTGTGTCACGACCGTTTCCGCTCCTCAGTGAGCCTTCTTGCTTCAGGCTGACGTGGGGAGGACCCGCGTTAACGTCTCCTTGTTTGCAGCTAATTAGTCTTCTGTTCTACATTTTTAATTCATTTAATTCCTGTTTATTCTCGTCTGATGGGGAATTTACCTTGAGTTGGGACAAACCTGCCAACGTCATGAAAACGGCTGGGGGAGTGGATGTATAGCTCCACGCATTCTTAACTTCGGCACTAGCTGGAGATGAATAATAATAACAGAACCGAAGGCGAAGGCGGAACTGAGCACAGCGTCTGAGTGGAAGCACTCGTCGCGAGGTCCTGGGATCAAACCTCGGTTTGGAGAGCTGCTATTCCGATAGGCTTTTCGTGGCTTGTCCCTGCTCATTTCGGGTAACAAGTTTCTCCGAAATGTCAGCTTGTTCTGAGGTTTTGTGGAGGCAGCTTCCTCCTTCGTTCTTTCCAATTCATTATCACCTGCTCATCGTACCCCTCACTGTACGCTGGACAGTCTGTGCTGCTCACCGCGTCCTTCTTGAGAAGCCAGCAGTGGCTCAGCCATTCGAGAATTTCCAAACCCTTTATTGAACCGGAACGTTCATTCCAGTGTTCCTAAGAGCCCGTCAATTGTCCTTATCCTGAACCAGATGAATCCAACCCACAACTCCGTATTTGTTTAAGATATATTTTAATATTATCCTCATACCTACGCATACACGTATGTCTTCCTAACTTTCACCGCCAGGTTTTCCTACAAAATGTCTGATGCACTAGTCGTCGCCCGCATGCGTGCTACATGCTCTGCCCATCTCATTCTCGTTGACTTCATAATTTTAACAATATTCGGCGATGAGTAAAAGTTACGAAGCTCCTCATTATGCAGTCTCCTCCCCTCTCTTGTTATTTCATCCCTGCTGGGTCCAAATTTTCTCCTGACCACCCTGCTCTGAACAACCCCGCACTCGGACAGCCTCACGGGCAGAAGCACGGGAGGAGAGGTGTAGAGACAGACAGACGTGCCTACCTGGTGCAGTGCACTCCTGCTCCTGTCCTGTCCTCCTTCCATGGGGCCTGAGCGTCGCGGACTAGTGCACGAGACGCCGTGTTATCACTGCGCTAGGGCCACGCTCTTCTCATGTCGGGGGTCGCGCGATAGCCCCAGTCGCACTGATAAGCACTTGTGTTCCGACATGTTCGCATTGTTACACAACTCTGCGACTCGGGGTGCCTTGCGACGCCGGCAGGCGCTGGACGCAAGATCACGTGGACATGTCATGAATTTGAGACGATTTGGAAGGAGGAGGTCATGTCGTAATGGAGTTAGCATCCCAACATTTCCCCAACGGACTGAGAAAAATAACGGAAACCTTTATTCAGGATGGCCAGTGCCCCGGCCATGACTCGAACCGAGCATCACCCGAATGCGGGAATAGAGCGCTACTGCCTCTCAAGTTCCCTCGGTATGCAGTTCGTATCTCTGTACCGACATCTGCTGTCTGCGCTCTGTAGCATTCAGACTGCGTAGTTCCAGACGTAAAGGCGCCACACAACAGCCCGGCTTAGCCTCCAGGGCTTTCCTCCACAGTGTGCAGCTCGGCTGCGGGGCCCACGCAGCTTCCTGTCCAACAGGCACCGGTGGCTCTTTCCCCGGAGGTAAAACGACAGGAGCATGATGCTGACCACTCACTTCCATCTAGTGCCGAAGTCAAGAACTGTAATGCTATACCTCCACTCCCCCATACGTCTTCCCGGCATAGTGCTTATCTAATTAAGCACAGGGACAACTTTACATAGTCATACACGGGAAGTTCAGTACCGAGCGGGTTGGCGCAGCGGTAACGCTCTAAATTCCTATTCGGAATTTTCAGTTCGAGTCTCTGCCGGGACGCCTAACCTAACTGAGAGTCGTCGTGACTTTCCACAGTCCTCCTAGACAACTGCCGGAAGAAAGCTTCTGGTTGCTGCTGAACTCGCGCCCTGCGCGCAGATCTCTCGGTGTTTATCGAGTGAGAGACGATCGAAGGGATTTCTTTCCGGGGCAATGAAAGGAAGTAGATCGCTTTCACTGGGCGTCCATACTCCATGCGAACTGGGGTCTCTCAGCAGTTGCCTTGGCTCCCCGTCTGATGGATACTGAGCCTCAAACGAGCGTCGGGAAGGAAAGACGCACTCGAGTGTGCATCTCACTCCCTGCCCTCTGGTTCGCTTACTGCAGACCCAGTTATGGCAGGAATATGGCGATGTACCTTGCACTGCAGTTGATATTTCCCAATCTAAAAACGTTTCAAATTGCCACAGCTCTCGGCGGACCTGCCCTTCAAGCAAGGATTGGCACAACGGCCCTTTATGAGCCATGAACTTCTTGCTTAAGTACAGCTGATGAATTCTTAACGCTGTCCCTGGACGGGAGGTGGCCACGTTACCCCGGTATCCACTGGACGCTGTGCAGAAGTACAGCTGCTTGAATTCTTAACGCTGTCCCTGGACGGGAGGTGGCCACGTTACCCCGGTATCCACTGGACGCTGTGCAGAAGTTCAGCTGCTTGAATTCTCAGCGCTGTCCCTAGACGGGAGGTGGCCATGTTACCCCGGTATCCACTCGACGCTGTGCAGAAGTACAGCTGCTTGAATTCTTAACGCTGTCCCTGGACGGGAGGTGGCCACGTTACTCCGGTATCCACTGGACGCTGTGCAGAAGTTCAGCTGCTTGAATTCTTAACGCTGTCCCTGGAAGGGAGGTGGCCACGTTACCCCGGTATCCACTGGACGCTGTGCAGAAGTAT